TAGAACGGTAGTGTGTGACGGCGTAACCGGAGGGGGTATATAAGCACGCCGGCACATAGGACACATTAGCTTCTTTCTATTCAGCAGGTACTCTGGCTATGTTTGGAAGCTCCATTATCCTACTTGATGTCGAGACGAAGCAGCAGATCATGTCAAAGCGATTCCGACAGTGTGTCTTTCCATGTGAGCGTTTCATCAGGGTGAGGGTGATACCCATGGGATGTGCGTCTCCTGCCTGGGGATGTCGCATGCTCAGGCGGCTCTCGAGGGGGCTGCCTGCGACCATTGCGAGGCCCTGCCCCTGATGGTGCTGAGGTCTCGAGCGGCTCTCTTCCTAGAGGATGGTCAGATGCGCTCTACATCCCCCCGGCTGGACTACGGCAACGTGACAGAAATCACACAACACGGATACGGAGCGATGCCACGAGTGGAGGAGGCACTGGCTAGCTACCTCTCTCCCAACCTCGCCTCATCCCTCCGGACGCCGGCGCTCCCCACCAAGTGTCGGATAACGTCCGATTTGGTGGGCAAGGCCTACATGGCAGCGGGTTGAGCTGGTGCCCGCCTGCACACGATGGCTGTCTTGCAGGCATACCAGGCTGATCTCCTTCGGGACTGTGTAGGGGGAGGTCCCTCTGAGGAGGACCTGACGGAGCTCCGTAGAGCGACGGACTTGGCTCTCCGTGTGACCAAGGAAACGGCCCGTTCCATGGCGGCTTTGGTGGCTATGGAGTGCCATCTGTGGCTCAACCTATCAGGCATCCAGGGGAAGGAGAGGGGTTTTCTCCTGGATGCACCCCTCTCGCCTTCTGGCCTGTTTGGCGAAGCAGTGGATGCTGTCGTCAACAGGTTCCAGCACGCCAAAACTCAGGGAGAGGCGTTTGAACGATATCTCCCCCGCCGGTCAGACTCCAGGACCGCAATGGCTCAGGAAAGGCGGACGCAGCCTTCATCCAGCTCCTACCGCCGCAGCCAGAAGCAGAGCGTCGCTTCACGGGATCCCCCTCAACTAACCTGGGATGCAAGACAGCGCTCTCGCCCACAGCCCCCCGAGAAGACGGATCTGAGGACCTCCGCGGTCCTCCGCTTCAGGGCACAACCAGGGATTCCCACGGTCCCCTTGGCCCCCTCGCGGAAGCTTGGCGAAGCCTCGCGAACATGTCCCCATGGGTCCTGCGCACAGTAGTAGATGGCTACAGGCTGCAGTTCCGGGTTCGCCCCCCCCAGATTCTGTGGGATGGTTCGGGACTACAGTACACGCAGAACAGAGCCTGGTGTTGGGACAGGAAGTCCGCTGTCTGCTGAAGAAAGGGGCCATAGAACTAATTTCCCTGCCGGTCAGAGAAGCCAGCTTCTACAGCCGATACTTCCTGGTTCCCAAGAAGGATTGCGTCCGATTTTGGATCTGCGGTCCCTGAGCCAATCTCTGAGGAGATTCAGGTTCAGGATGCTTACCATCCCAGCCATCATCAGTCACATCCAATCCGAGGATTGTTTTGTCACGATAGATCTGCAAGACACTTATTTCCACATCTCCATCCGTCCCTCTCACAGGAAGTTCCTGAGGTTCGCCTTCGGGGGTTCTTCCGTTCGGCCTAGCACTATCTCCCCGCACATTCACCAAATGCATGGTTGCAGCTTTGGCTCCATTGAGGCTCCAGGGCATCCACATACTGAACTACATCGACAACTGGCTCGTCCTGGCCCAGTCTTGAGAGTTAGCAGTTCGGCATCGAGATGTCGTCCTCGCCCACCTTCAGCGTTTGGGGCTGCAGCTCAACGCGAAGAAGAGCGTGCTGACACCAGCCCAACGGACTGCGTTCCTAGCAGTGGTGTGGGACTCAACGACGATGTGGGCCCACCTGTCTCCCGCATGCATCGAGTCCATTTATCCTCAATCTTGGTTCCTATCCCAAGGTCCTGTGTTGGGAGCGATCTGTCGCCGAACAATTATTTCAACAAACGCCTCACTCACGGGATGAGGCACGGTCATGGACGGCCGCTTCGCGAGAGGCTCCTGGGAGGAGCATCATTTCTCTTGGCACATAAATTGCCTGGAAATGTTGCCGGTTTTCAGAGCTCTGAGGAGTTTTCTGTCTGCCCTCCGCGGTCGCCACATCCTTGTCAGAACCGACAATACGGCAGTAGTGGCTTATATGAATCACCAGGGGGGTCTGCGCTCGCGCCCGTTATGCAAACTGGCACATCGGATCCTCCTGTGGTCCCAGCAGAGACTGCTATCCCTCAGAGGGATGTACATCCCTGGGACCCAGAATCAAGGAGCAGACCTGCTTTCGAGACAGGGGCTGAGGCCCGGGGAATGGAGACTCCACCCCGAGGTGGTGGAGTTATTATGCGAAGAGTTCGGCCCCATAGACATGGACTTGTTTGCGTCAAGAGAGACGGCGCACTGTCCCCTGTGGTTCTCCCTATCATCCCCAGCCTCGCTAGGGCTGGATGCCATGGTACAGACGTGGCCAAGGCTGCGTCTGTATGCGTTTCCCCCAGTCACTCTGCTCCCGGGGTTGCTGGAGCGGGTCCGCCAGGACGGCGTCAGTCTACTACTAGTAGCCCCGTTTTGGCCGGCACGAGTGTGGTTCTCGGATATAATATCGCGTTCCCATAGTGTCGACACCGACGCAGTGTCTCGTTCCCCTTCTCGGGGAACAAGGGTTACATACGTAACCCGAGACGTTATCTTGGTCCAACTAAGTTTCAGTTAAAAACATGAAATTAAGATTGAGAGTGATTATAAAATCATTGATTAAAAATGTTTTTCCTGCCAAAGACCTAACGTTTAACAAAGCTAATTTTAGTGTGTTATTTCTATTGTAGAAGGTACAACATTAAAGGTCAACACCTCGTTTGTATTTTATGAATGTCCTGTGCATTTCCCATTATTGAAAAGTACTAATGATTGTGCCCACCCCACAGGTTCCATCTATTGGAAGCAGAAGAACGAATTTGTGGAATTGCAGAGTGGCAAACAAAGAAGATCAAGGTAGCTACCATTAAATATTGAACAGAGTACTTCATTTAAATTACACTAAAAAAATAATCTGACTATGTTAACTCTTTTTTTTTAAGTCGAAAAGAGGATGAAACTGCAGGCCTGCAGGACATCTATGAAAAGGTAGAAGAGGTGATACTCGCTGCCTAGAGTCTTCCGGACGTGACCTTGACAAAAGGCTTTCTGAGCTGGCCGTCAGTGAAAGAGTGACACACATCTTGACAGAAGCACAGGCAGAGCACGTGCGAGCTACTTTCAACTGCACTGTGTGCAAGAGTATGCAGATATTTTATACTTTTACTTAAACTGCTGTATAAAACTGTCTACAAAACCTATAGTGGAGTTTGTTCATTTATCTCTCAAGTGAGTGAGCCAGTTCTTTCCGCCTGCTGTAAAACCCTCCTAGGATGCAAGGTCTGCATTGATCAGTGGCTTCAAAATGCATCGCAGTGTGTGAACTGTAGAGAGGAAAACTTCAGAGCCAATGTAATTGTTGTGGTCTGTCTGAGGGGTTGTTAGCCTTAAAGGATATCATAAAAGTGAATTAAAAGCTGCATCAATGGATCTAAGTTTGAGTTACAGTGTTCAGTTAAATGTTGTGTTTTGTTACAGTGCTACTAAAATGTTTACAGTAACACAACCCTAGGACTTGGATAGATTCCCTAGATAAGTGTTAGACACATGCATAACCTGACTATGATTGTCTTTTAGTTAAGTTATAAGAAAGATCACAGCATCTTTAAAAGGTGAAAGAGTTTTGTTAACTGCACTATTGAACAGATCTGCCATGTCAGGGTAGGTTTCAGCAAAAAGACGTTCAACCGTAGCCTTCTCTTCTTCCGTCAAAAAGGGGTCTGTTCCAAATGATGACTCTCTTGTTAAGGTGCCTCCCAGTTCCTCAGCGTAAAGGTTGGCTGCTTCAGGTGCCTGAGGCAATAACACCTGTGAGACCTATTTTGGGCACCCACCCCCTGCAAGTTGATTGGGGACACCTTTTCCTGTAATTAAATTGTTCAAATGAGTACAATACACCTAATAAAGACTGTCTGGATCATATAATGGTCTTCTTTAATGGTGTTTAACATACAAGGGATTCTGTGTTCATTCCAGGCATCCACAAGCATTGTTCCTGACACTGAGTCAGAAATCAGCTGTTCATCAGAGTGATGGCTTGTGGGAAGAAACTGTTCCTAAGTCTGTTGATTTTGGCATACAGTGCTCTGTAGCGCCTACCAGAGGGGAGGAGCTGGAACAGGTTGTGTCCGGCGTTTCCTGACTCTGGAAATGTATAGGTCCTGAATGGAGGGCAGGTTGGCACTGATGATCTTTTCTGCAGTCCTGACTGTCCGTTGTAGTCTGCACCTGTCCTTTTTGGTCGCAGATCCAAACCAGACAGTGATGTACGTGCAGAGGACAGACCGGATGATAGCTGTGTAAAAGTGGATCAGCAGCTCCTTAGGCAGGTTGAGCTTCCTGAGCTGGTGCAGGAAGTACATCCTCTGCTGGGCCTTGGTGTCAGTGTTGGGCTCCCACTTCAGGTCCTGGGAAATAGTGGATCCCTGACTACGCAAGTTTTGACTTGAGTGTTAATGCAATAGACAGCGCCATGCAAAAATTTTGTATTGAATATGACCATTGACACACAAAGGCACTTTCATATTTGTTACAACATATTTCTTTCAGTGGTCGGTTGTTGTGGAGGTCATGGCCACCTATGAAGCCTCCACCATGTCTGCTACACACAGCTTAAAGCTGTGCGAGCTAGAAGCCGGGACGTTTCTGTTTTTGGCTTCTTTACCCACAGATCAGACAGGATGACATATAATGAGACTCATTACTATTATTATAAGTCTATTCACATATAAGTGATTTAAATATTTTAATTAATTTAAGTAAAAATAATTGTTGCTTACTAAATGTGAAATTGTTTTTTTTTTAAACGAAGAGTTTTAAATAGCATGCAGCCATAATACAAATTAGAAGCACACTGTACCCATGGTAATAATTTATTCAACCTTGTTTTTAATCAGACATACTGTACAAACATCAAGGGACACACGCAGTGCTACTTGACTTTCCATTAGCAAAGGTAGAGAACTTCCATTACCTCAGAATGGCTTCATGGCTACTTGTCATGTAAGAATGCATGAATCAAGTAAAAATAAATTATGCTACATTCATGCAATGGATCAATGACCTACTGTTAAAAACATTGCCTGATTCTATCCTGAATAGACTAAAATATATCATTTTACATATGTAGGAACAGGTGATATTGTCTCACATTTTTAGATTTTCAATTTAAACCTTCAACTGTTAATTGGAGCTCTGTATGCTAAATTCTGGGGAGAGTACAGTGTTCATGCTGCTCAGATGTGAGACCAGGTCAGGATGAAAACAGCTCAAAATCAGACTCGTCTCGTGAGTGGAGTGGCAGTCACCTTCCACAGCTCCTATAAAAAAATTGATAATAATGTAAATTAATAAAAACTTTACTTAACACCGTACCTACAGTAACATGGACAAGTACAGTCAGAATAGTGTTTGATTGTTAAGTTGCATCAATATCCCTGGAGTAGGACCTCAAAATATATTGAATGTCTGAGTTTTCAGGGTTTTGAGTATGAGGTGTTTCAGGCCAGAAGAAGAATGATACAAAAAGAGTGATTTATTTATTAACACAATCAACAAGTGCGATAGTAACACCTGACCTGTCATAACTGACAGTGACAAACTTGGGCACTCGAGACTCAGACTAATTAGTGGATGAATTGGGCAGTACCGCCCAATAAATGAAAATAAGTGTTCATAGCTAACAAACGATTAATGATAAGAGAGTTGCGGTCTTTTTTGCCATATTCCTGAGACTCCACTGAAAACGGCAATAGTATGAAGCTGCAGTACCGAAGGCTGCAGTCTCAGGACCCCCGCAATCCTTGGAACGCAGTTCTAGGAGCCTAGTTCTTTAGCAACAGCGCCATCTAGTGGAATGGTGGTGGTAATGCACAGCAACACAAAGGAGGTTAACCCTACAGCTGCGCAGTGCTAGCAGACACCGTTAACCTCCGTCGGTCAACATGCATATAATCAGTAACTTAGGTTTAGGCACACACTCGGTGATGGTTGTGGTAAGGGTAATTGGCTTCGGGGGGCTGTAAAGAGTAACATAGCTAGCTAGCCAGCCAGCTAGCTGGCAGTATCAAAGTAAACAAGGGTCCTGGAAATGCAGTTCCGGTCCTAGGATTGTCCTGAAACTGCAGCTACATGCTACTCGAAAACGGGGATATCCGGATTATTTATGTACGTCACTTCTTTGGCAAATCCAGTGAAATCAATGTTGTCATCCAAGCGCAAAAGACCAATGGAAAATGGGGGTATGTTCTATTTTACCCAATCAGAGGAAGGTAATGTGATGCTTTCTAGCCAATGACGACTCTGTAGTGTTCTGCACCCCAAGTAAGGAGGCCGATACAGAAATATATGACCAGCCATTTTATCTACACAGGCTGTGATGAATGTGGAGAAGTGGTTGACTTATGACAATGGAACTATCCAAGTGTGATTCTTATGGTTGTTTTATTGCTTTTATAATGGGAAAGAGGAAGAGTTTACACAGCAGAAGCATGGCATCGGTAAGAAGTTTGGAACGCTACACGCAGCCACAAGCTGTTTACCGACGAAACAAAACAACAGGATCAGCGATCCCACAGGTATGTAACTCAAATACCATCCTTATCATAAAATAATGTAATAGAATGCGATCATGATAGTTTATTGCCAGTTGTTTTGGATGCATATGCGTGGATGGGATGATTTGGAGAGAAACACGTCGTATTGTTTATCTATAATGTATACGCTGTACATGAGGCGGAGTCCCCCTCCCCTCCCCTCCCCTCCCTCCTCTCTCGTTCTCCCTCACCCAGTCTGGCTCGACTGTCTCCCTCCCCCTCCCCTCTGCACTGAGCTCGCAAACTGTTTAGTCAGGCATCAGATTACGTGAGTTTTTAGAGGAGTTGGTGTTTTGCTCCTTGAATTTTGACACAGAGATAATCTCACAAGCTCAATGTGTAATTGCTCTCTCTTTCTACATTATTACAGCATATTTCAAGCACATCATCTGCATCATCTGGGATGCTTTTGGAAACATCCATATAGACTACAGTGGCTGCGGACCAGAAGATTGACCACACACTGTGCCCATTGCCCCTGTGGACCCAGTAAACCATGCACACAGGACTGCAGATGTTATCAAGTACTGTGAGCACTCTGTAAGGCAAGCAGAGTCTATAACAAGACCCCTTGGCAGTGTGGAGCATGCCAGGAGCCTCTCTGCATCTTCTTAGAGATGCCTTGCTTTGGTTAGAGGGATGCATGAGAAAAACACCTTGGACATTTTCACAAAAGGCTGAATTATTTCATTGTTGTAGGCACATTCTATTGAAAACCTGCATATGTATAAATCACAAAAATCGTTTATGAAATTCTTTAGTTTATTGTGAATTTTTCACTCATATTTTCTTCATAAGCATATTACATGCATGATTATGTTAGCTTAGGGGTTGACCATTAATCGGAAGGTCGGCGGCTCCATCCCTGGCTCCCCCAGGCTGCATGTCGAAGTGTCCTTGGGCATGATACTGAACCCCGATTTGCCCCTGGCGGCTGTTCCGCCAGTGTATGAATGAGTGTGAATGTTAGTTTCCGTTTGAGCACTTAGGCTCAGTGTATGAATGTGTGTGACTGGTGAATGCAGATGTAGTGTAAAAGCGCTTTGAGTGGTCGAAAAAAGACTAGAAAGGCGCTATACAAATACGGAGCATTTACATTTACCAAACACATGGTGTTCCATCTCCATTACATATGGTTTATAAGCGCAAATGTATAAATAGAGAAAATGTACCAGAAAGGGCTTCGGACCTAGAGGGTTAAAGCAAACATTGCAGAAACTTGAAAGGAAATGGCGTTTCACCAATCTGAAAGAATCTTGTTCAAAACTTATAGTAAGGCCCTCCGTAATGCCAGAGCAGCGTACTACTCGTCATTAATAGAGGAAAATAGGAACAACCCCAGGTTTCTTTTCAGCACTGTAGCCAGGCTGACAGAGAGTCACAGCTCTATTGAGCCATGTACTGTATTCCTATAGCCCTCAGTAGTAACAAATTCATGAGCGTCTTTAATGATCCAGTTCTAATTATTAGAAACATAATTCACCAAGAGCTGCCCTTAACGGACACCGACTTGTCTCTTAACTCAGGAACCTTTAGAAACAGAGGTTAAACCTAATATACAGTAATCGTTTCTTCATCTAAACCATCAACCTGTCTCTTAGATCCCATCCCTACTAGGCTGCTTAAAGAGTTTTCCCGTAGTCTTGTGCTTTCTCATCCCTTTCTCCTCCTATCACTTCCTGCAGGTGTTTCTGGCTCTGGAGCTCCGGAGACAGGATCTGTGGTTGCGAATCGCCTGCTGCTACCATGTTCTTGCTGGACACCCTCTGCTTCAATTGTTATTACTAGTCCTATTGTTATCATTTACATTATAAACAATATAGGTAGTACAGACTGATGGTGCAGATCATACCGCCTAAACAACAAATCTGACACACTGCAATATAATCTAGATAACTGTGTTTTCAGGGGTGTATAAAGACCTTACATAATGAACTGTTATATTTTTATTACCTTAGAGTGAGCCATTTCTATCTACATAGACCACAGGTCATCTTACATGGACGTCACCATGTTGCGCCGCCATGTTTCTACAGTAGCCCAAAGGGACTTTACAGAGCATGTTTTGTCACTACGTTGAATACTTACTAGAAGAAGTAGTAGTAGTAGTAGTAGAAAAGAAGAGAAATTTGGACAAATGGAGGCCCACACAAACGCTAACAGAGCGTGTTGGCCAGCGTAACTTCTCCAGCGTGCTTGGAAAGGGAGCAGTGACATGCATTCACGTGGTCGGAATAATCAGAATCTTTATTTCCTCCTTAAATCTTGAAGCAAAAAGAGAAATAAAGTGTACATGGGATATAAAATAGAATATAGATAGAATATGATTTGTGCAAAATCACGTTGCTTATGTAATTTGTAATATGATTATAACGGTTAGTTTGCTGTCCATGTAGAGTGAACTGGATGTCTATGTGTTGTTTATATGCTATGATAATGCTAATCCAACAAATCTTTGTAGTAGCGCCCATTTTGATTCCACTTAAGAGCATATGAATACAAAAGGAGTCGGAAGAATGACTTCACAAATCGGGAAATGGGTCCATCTGAGGAGCAAATAAATGCACCATGAGCTGCTGGTTGCAATTCGCAACCTTCAGCATTTGATACCACTAAAACCTACGTACTGAACCTTTAAGTTAAGCAATAAATATTCCAATCCACTAGAATAAAATGATGTGTGTAGTGTTTCCCTTACCAGTTGCTCTATGCGTTCATATAGAAGACACTGTGTAAAGTTACAAGGGAGCTGTTCCACTCTGAAGCTGCATCTTCCATCCACCAGGTCCTGGAGTTGGGACAGACAGTGGCTGAAATGGTCATAGGCCTCACAGGAAACATCCATGTCTCGCAGGGAGAAGTTCATCCTTGTAAGACATCCAGGCACAGCAGGAAACCTGATTACTTCCTGATTATCAATATCATCTGTTGCTGCACCTCAGTGGTATAAACCAAGTGTACACTTTACAACAGAAGTTCTCTTTGGTAAAACTAATTTGACTAATGACTGTCAGTCACACAAAAGAAGGGGCGCTGTAGTAAATATGTATTGAAGCAGCAGCAATGTAATTAATATTTTCCACCATTAACACATTTATCTTGGTTTAGCAAGAGTCAATGTTCAGATTAGCTTTGTTGACCATTCTAATCAGATAAGTGGCTAACCTGGCATTGACCAGTGAAATCACTTTTATGCATCTTACAGCAACTGAGAGGTTATTTGGGAAGCATATTGTTAATGCTAAACTATCTTTAGTACAGGAAAAGTATTTAGTTTCACCTGGTGTTCAAACTGTTGGGTGTTGCTGGCCAGTAAGCATGCACGTTCAGGTAGTAGGCAGTGAGCACCAGTGCACATGCAGAGAGGTTAACTGTAGTTCATACTCCCCCAAAAAACAAGCAACCCTTGATTTCATTGCCCCGGCACAGGTCTTTTACTATTTAGTTTAGTAACCAGCTCATGATCTGTTTAGTGAAGCATAATGACCGTCTTGATAATTTTGGTGTCTAATATATTGTGATGTATTCTTTATTTAATTTTATGTTGTTTCTTTATTGACCTTGACATTGAACGCATCTAGGATACAACCTGTTGAAGCTTCTCCCCTCTGGCAGGCGCTACAGAATGCTGTATGCCAAAACAACCAGGATCAGTTTCTCCCCACAGGCCGTTACTCTGATGAACAGTGAACTCCAGACACACGGTCAGGAACAATCCGTGAGACCCTAACATCAACTTGTATACTTGTACTATTTATTAGTCATTTTTGTAACTGTTCGTTTACGGTGTGTGTATGTGTGTACTTCACACTGTTGTCTGTGTGTGTGTTTTTGTTGAGCTTTTTTTGTTCATGCATGTTCTGTGTATGTACATCAAGTGCAATGTAAGACTAGAGTCAAATTTCTTGTATGTCTACACATACCAGGCCATTAAAGCTAATTCTGATTCTTGTAATGACCATGGGACTACAGATGGAAAATAGCCTCCTGGTTAAATCTGGTATACATTTCTGCAAAGCTAATATGTTCATTAATATGCACGGCCACTTTGTAATAAATAACATAAATAAATAAATAAAGTATGGTGGTGTTTAAATTCCAACAATTCTTGATCTGAATTTATAATCATATTAATACCCCACCAACTACATTGCAATTGTAATAATCCCTCCCTCTTATTTTCCGTACATGATGTTCTCTCAATAAAAATCATACATTTTAGATCGATGGAATGACCCAGTGATCTTTGAATGTCTTCTTACAGGTTTTTTAATACATGCTACATTACCCATCAGCCGCCGTTGCTGACCTTTCATAAAATAGACTAAATAACCTTTATTTCTCAGAATCAATGGAGAAATAATTCAAACTGATTGCCATGAAATTATCTTATCATATTGGTGAATTATCAAAAAGGCTTTTGTGTGTTTATGTTGAGAAATGGTGAGGATATCATTCATTTGAGGATGGGTTGGCTTAGTGGAGGCTTGCTGGTGGCAGAAATTTTTAAGAAGTTTTTAATTAAAAGAACATCACCAGTAAAATAACACACTAGCTCAGAAAACTACACAATTCAAAGATAATAATTCAAATAACATGACTGTTTGTTGCCTCTCATGTTTTGAACTTGTTTTAAAAAGTTTACACTGCAATGTTTATTAAAGGATAATGATGTACGCCTACTTTGCTTTGGAAAAACCGCTTACGGCACATAGCTGAATAGCTTTTAAAACCTCCTTCCCCAACACCCCTTTTAGATTTAGCATTTCTGTAACTTTCAGAAAACGATAATTCAACATTCACTTTACGCTCTGATTGGCCAGCTGTGCAAAGAGGGAGAAAGCAGTCATGGCAAGGGTGTCAGTTTGTGTTGAAAAGTGGTGAGGACATAGGGGCTCAGATTAGGGCTGTGAAGAGACACTTAGCTTGCGAGACATCACAATACGAGACTGAGACGAAAAGAACCTTAAACAGTGTTTTAAAGATATCCTTAATGCCGAGATATATAAGCGGGTGTCTGGGGGGACCTCCACCAGGACATTTTGATCATTAAACACTTCATTTCCTGAATTCCTGAATTCAAGTTTCTGCACCAATTTATGTTGGAAATGTTTTGATTTATGTAAAAGGAAACACGAAATTCAGATGGCAGGTGACATTTCAAAATATATAAATATAATAGAATATAATGCAGTGCAGCTCTCGGCATTCTGTGTTGCTTGAAAATTTCTCCTGTAGATCAACTTTTCTAATGTAATATCCCTGCTGAGGCAACACATATGCAGGCATGATTTAGTCTTCCCTCCTCTTTTGTCATGTTCACAGGGAGAGAACGGAAAACTTGGCCAAAAAAGAAACTACATCAAGAAGTAGTTAAATTTACTGACTGGTGCATGCACGTTTTTGGGTCATATTATCAGTAGTTTGTTTTTTTAGGGGCGTCTGTGGCTCAGGAGGTAGAGCAGGTTGCCCGTTAATCGGAAGGTTGGCGGTTCCTCCAGGCTGCATGTCGAAGTGTCCTTGGGCAAGATACTGAACCCCCGAATTGCCCCTGGTGGCTGTTTCACCAGTGTATGAATGTGTGTGGTGAATGCAAATGTAGTGTAAAAGAGCTTTGAGTGGTCGAAAAGACTCGAAAGGCGCTATAAAAGTACGGAGCATTCACATTTACATTTATGCTTAAGTTACTTCTTTTGGACAATGCACATTTGTTTCTTCTAAATCTTAATTGCATAGCATGTTTTCTGAATGTTTTTGTAACAAATTATGTTTTAAAAATGTGATGGGGACAAAATCTGTCATTTCAAAAAGTGGTGGTGACATGTCCCCAGTGTCCCTAAATCTGGGAGAATGTCTGAGAATGTGCGCAATGCCTCTGTGATCAGAGATTGCAGAAAAAATACTCAGTCAGTTATGCTGCTGTATGAAAGGAACTCCTTTGGTAAAACATATACCTTGTCAGAATAACAAGCGGAACTTGCTTTAACAAAGTATGGACTGTAGGGTTTTCCTTACCTTTTCTCTATGGAGATGAAGATTGTGCAGGTGTGAGGAAAGTTACTGCAGAGTTGGTACAGTGTTCGGAAAAGGCCATCTGTCAGATCATCATCATAGCAAACTGGTGACACACAACACAAAATATTGATTCTGCCCGTTTGTCATTGTGTGGTTTTGTGATTTATTTTGCAGCCATTATGGCTAAAATTTAAGCTGCAAATTATATTACTTTTCATAGTTTTCTACTTCTCAGTGTCTCTGTCCATGTACTGAGATGTATAGTTAACAACAAGCTGACTGTTCTGATTTTGCTGTTAATCTGAAAGGAATTGTAGTACTGTGGAGATGCCACTCGTCATGAATGAGTGACATGTAGTGTAAAGCACTTTGAGTGGTTGGAAGACTAGAAAGGTGCTATAAAAGTGCAGTCCATTTACCATTTATGCAATAGTGATGTCATGGGTCCTGGAGCCCACCAGTATTTTAGTACAGCAAAGTGAGAAAAGAAATCACTGGAGGTTGCAGTAAAGACAATATTTGTAGGGGGTGTGAAGTTAATCAAGAAGTATAGGTGAGGCAGTGGCAGGCTGGCCAATGGGAAGTTTGGGAATTTTCCCGGTGGGGCAGTCTTGTAAGGGCTTGCCTTTTTTCCACCAACTATTATTTCCCCAAGTATTATATAGCTTACTGTAAAACTTTGAATAATGGCCCGGGCTTTTATTTGCCAAAATCACTGAATTGACCCTGCCTATATTTGGGACCGGCGTCCATATGGGATAGGCATTTAATTCCTTTTGCACAAAACTGACATTACTATGAAACAGTTTATTTATTTCAAATTTCGAATAATACTTGTATAAAATTGTCATTCAGTTGATCTAGCTCCGACAGACAGCTTATGCGCTTTAATTCTGAAGGCAGCAACAGCACACAAACAACAAGTGTGGCAGAAGTTAGCAGATAGCAACGGACAGGATCCACAACTTGGATAAATTTTTATGAAAAGCTGTTTTGATTCTTTTGATCGGTGGACCCTTACAGACTAAAGGAAGATAAATAATCAAGGCACGGACACATTCGGACTTAACGGCAGTCAGCACTTTTTTTACTTTCCTCTCTTGTACCAGATTACACTGGTAAATCTATAAAAATTAGACTTTGGGGCTCGTTGTTTCCGTTAAATGAACATGAACGACTGAATTGTTGCCACCTGATGGGAATGGACTTCCCATTTTTGTACCTCTCCCACTACCAAATCCACATGAGGAACTGAAGCTTGTCTGACTTCCATTTATAGAAGCATGATATGATGGTGACCCCATCCCTGCCATTTTAACAAAATTGTGTCATCCAGCAGTTTAAGAGTAATGTCATGTTAACAGTATAGCCTTATAATCTGTTGTTAAACAATGGAGCTGGTGTATTTCACCCTATGCACACTATTACACTTCCAATCTGGAACAGACCTGTCAACTGAGTAAGTGATACTTTTACTCAGGGTACAATAAGAAAGGTTATTGGGGAGAGAACAATTCACTTCACTGACAGGCTTGAGGTGTAGCATCTTCACAGAAAAAAACAGAGGTTTGATTAGTTTGATGACAGAATGGGGAAAAAACATTTCAGTCAGAGCATGGACTTAACTTTTGATAGTGGCGGACACTCAAAGCAGTAATGTCACATTATGCCCATCACTTTAGGCCTCAATGAATCAAAGCGGATCATTTTGATTTTGATCAGCACAATAACCTACCATCCGCAGCAATGATGAAGCTAGTGTTGTTATACATATCCACAACTTCCTCCTCTGTCCAGCTAAACTCGACATCAGCATCTACAAAGATTAGATAAATGGAAAGACAAGATATTTTCTATGGTCAGAAGTTTCTTAAAATAGCAGCAACTCATATGCCCCTTTTCCACCGCATGGTACCAGCTCGACTCGCCTTGACTCATTTTTGGTTTTCCAGCAGGGAAAAGTTGTACATGTACCTGCTAACTGGTAATTTTTTTCATTAGTTAAGGAGCTTCGCAAGTGCCGCTGGGTAAAGCTAACAAACTGCTGCCGGGGAAAGCTAATGGGCCACCGGCCAGTCAGCTCACAGGCCTGTGCAGCTAACGTAACAGAGACTGCAACAACAATGGCAGCCGCAAGCTTTTCATACCGTTATTCTGTCTTTACATTCTGAGTAATGTCAAAACATTTAACTTAAATGAAGAGACAGCTGGTGTGTGCGAGTCGCGGGTGTGTGTCGCAAAGAACATTATGTCGCGCCAGTTGTGTGAGACGTTGCTATGACAACCAGCTACATTAAGAGGGTACTATCTGCAATGGAAAACAGAGGACGGCGGGCCAACACCGACTCGAGTAGAGTCGAGGCCAGTTGAGCTAGTACCAGCAATTGAAAAGGGGCTATACACCCAAGTAGACTTGGAAGACCTTCCATGTCACAGGGTGTACTTGACATAGGATATCTTTGACTTTCATCCTTGGTATCATCCTTGGTATCATCCTTGGTAGCCTCACTTTATTTGTAAAAAAGTAACAATGTTTTGTTTTGTTAAAGTAACATTGTTTTGGCAACGACACAAAATACATGGAAACAGTGTTACGTGAAATTCTGTTAAATTCAGAGTGTTGCATTCATGATTAAGTAAGCATTGTTTTTTTCATGATTTCATCTTGTTTGTGGCCCTACAAAGTGGCCCTTCTTTTAAAACTGATAAATAATATAGGATTAATGGTTCCATAAAATTAAAGGTTGAGTGTGTTGTGAATTATTTTGGAGCATTATAGCCTAAATTGTTATCATTAAATACTAGAGCAATGGTGGTCTACATTTTCATCTTTTAAAGTGTTATTTTATAGTGTAAAGTTAGGATCACAGTGTGAAAACTCTATAGCTCTGAGTGTATGTGCTTCTTTCTGTATCTAACCGCCCAGGCTCAGCAGTAGCACATATGTGCGTGAGCAAGTTCGTGTGCTTTGGGAGAAAAGGGAGGGAGCACAGTAAGATAGCATCAAAAACACTTGCAAACAAAAATATAGAAGCAGATTTTGTGAAAATTGTATTACAAAACATACATCAATATAGTCCATCACAGTAAGAATGTCCTGTTTCTAGCACAGAGCACAAACAACACCAGTTTATTCCACAAAAGTCAGGTTATGGAAGAAATGGCATGATCAAGCAGAGTTCATGCAGAGGACACAGAGAGGAGGAGCAGGCAGTCAGGGACTTTCCCAGACCCAGGTGCAGTAGGAAAGAGGGCCAAGAGATGATGTAAAGCCAAGAAACAGAGCTATAAAAGGAGGTCCAAAAGGAGGTGAAAGTCAGTTGTTACATGGTTTTCATGTCGACTCGGGTCTCTGTTCTGGTAACAGAAATGCAATATAATATCTATAACTATGTTTTCAGTGGTGTATAAAGACCTTACATAATGAACACTAATGTTTTTATTACCTTTGAATGAGCCATTAATATCTACATAACCGCAGGTCACCCCTTCCATGGACGTCGCCGTGTTGTGTCGTCATGTTTCTACCATAGAGCGTTTCGTCATCACGGCATTGTTCTTCTGCTTGTATAACTCCAACAGTCTAGACACATTACATTAAATCCATCCATGGAAGAAGAAGAGGAAATAATAACAAAAATAAACAGTCTCTGAGTAGTCCTCTGGTTTATTAGAAGTAAGAAGAGAAGTGACATTTGGACAAATGAACGAGCATGTGTTATTTAGCACGAGAGCCGACAGTGTGTGGATCTTTATACCATGAAGCCAGAGGAGTTGGGACAGATGCAGACAGATGGCAGGAGAAATCACAGACATAATCAGTGTGGATTTTCCCAGATGGAAGGCTTTGATGCAGGACAGATGTTGTCTGATTTCTGCTGGACAGGTAATTCATTTGTTTGACATTAGCGAGCCCTGCGATGGACTGGCGACCTGTCCAGGGTGTACCCCGCCTTGCACCTGATGTCAGCTGGGATTGGCTCCAGCCCCCCCGCGACCCTGTACGCAGGATAAGCGGTTGACGATGGATGGATGGATGGAGGGTCAGGCCTTGTTAATGAGGCTAGCTGCAGACAGGAAGAAGCTGTTTTTGTGGTGAGAGGTTTTGGTCCTGATGGACCGCAGCCTCCTGCCAGAGGGGAGAGTCTGAAACAGTTTGTGTCCGGGGTGGGAGGAGTCAGCTGCAATCTTTCCTGCTCGCCTCAGAGTCCTGGAGGTGTACAGGTCCAGAAGAGAAGGAAGATTGCAGCCAATCACTTTCTCTGCAGAGCGAATGATACGCTGCAGCCTGCCCTTGTCCCGGGCAGTGGCAGCAGCGTACCAGATGGTGATGGAGGAGTTGAGGATGGACTCAATGATGGCGGTGTAGAAGTGCACCATCACTGTCTTTGGCAGGCTGAACTTCTTCAGCTGCCGCAGGAAGTACATCCTCTGCTGGGTCTTCTTGGTGAGGGAGGTGATGTTCAGCTCCCACTTGAGGTCCTGGGAGGTGATGGTGCCCAGGAAGCGGAAGGAGTCCACAGTGGTGACTGAGGAGTCACACAGGATGATGGGGGAGGGTGAGGCTGGGCTCTTTCCACGAAAGGCAGAGCTGAAATCCACAAACAGGATCCTGGCGTAGGTTCCTGGGGAGTCCAGGTGCCAGAGGATGTAGTGAAGGGCCATGTTTACTGCATCTTCTACAGACCTGTTGGCTCTGTAGGCAAACTGCAGGGGGTCCAGGAGTGGGTCTGTGATGGATTTTAGGTGGGACAACACAAGGCGTTCAAAGAACTTCATAACCACAGAGGTCAGGGCGACTGGTCGTTTAGTCCAGTGGTCCTTGGTTTCTTGGGGACAGAGATGATGGAGGAGGCTTTGAAGCAGGCTGGCACATGGCATGTCTCCAGTGAGGTGTTAAAAATGTCTGTGAACACCGGAGACAGCTGATCAGCAGTCCGGTCCCGCTGCTTTGCAGGGTCTGCCTCCTGAATAGTCTGTTGACTTCCCTCTCTGTGATGGAGAGAGGAGGCAGTAGAACTGGTTTAGCTCATTTGCCAGCTGAGAGTTGTTGATGGAGTGGGGGACTTCGGGTTTATAGTTTGTGATCTGTCTGAACCCCCTCCAGACAGAAGTGGTGTCGCAGAGAACTGGTTCTTTAGCTTCTCACACCTCCCTGCTAAACCTGTACTTTAACGCCCTGCCCTGTCTCCACTCCTATATGCCTCCTCCTTTTCCAACCTTAGCTGCCTGAGTTTAGCTGTAAACCAGGGTTTGTCATTGTTATAACTCATCCTGGTCCGTGTTGGAATACACGCCTGAGATCATCTACAGCTTCACTGGTCCATTTCTTTGATGTCCGCGATACAGGTTTACATCAAAAGTGTTCCCCTCTCTGGTTGGACACTTTATAAACTGTCTGTATTTGGGGAGTTCTTGGCTGAGATTTCCCCTGTTAAAGTCACTGAGTACAATACAAGGGAGTCCGGGTTTGTCTGCTCCACACACAGTATCTGGTCAGCATGCGCTGTGCGTCGTGCATGTTGGCGTGCGTCGTGCACGCTGGTGTGCGTTGGAATGTAAACACCAACCAGAATGAATGAAACAAACTCATGGGGGAAGTAAAACGGTTTACAGTTAATGATAAGAAATTCCAGATTAGGAGAACAGTGCTGCTGAATCACTGTCACGTTGGTACACCAGCCATTGTTAATATAAAAACAGACACCTCCACCTTCTGTTTTGACGGAATAAAATATGTAACGTTAGTTGGATTAATTTCATGTAGCCTTGTTGTTCTCCAGCGCTGTGGTTTGGCTTTTCCGGTTACGTTAGCAAGACAATCATCTGATCAGTAATTGGCATTAAAAATGGTAATGTTAGCTTACAGCTTTGGCATTGTTACGTGGACAGAAATGTGCCCTTACCTTCCTGAGATAAACCGCTGATGAATATTATTGGCAATAAAAATTGTTGCTTATTATTATTGTTGTTGTTGTTTGTTGTTACTAAACATGAAAAAAGGACATAAGTGAATAACAAACAATTTTATGATTTTCCCAGGGAACAAAAAGCCATGCCAATAGTAATTATATTTAATTAATTAATGTTCCTCAGAAACTTTTTGTAAACACAGAGACAGTTTTCTCGGATGGTGCACTTTCTTTTTTTTTTAGAAGATTTTGAGAATTAAGACTTAATTTCCTGCATTCTGGTAAGAATTTCTGCTCCAATTTATGGTGGAAATTTTATTTGTATCAGAATAAATAAATATATCAGAATACAATGCAGTAAGGCTAACAGATATTCTTAATTGCTTTAAAATTTCTCCAGTAGATCAACTTACTAAATATCATCCCTGCTGAGTCAAAGCACATGATTTAGTCTTCCTTCCTCTTTGTATCTGTTGTTTGGGGAATTAACCTCTTAAATGTGATTGTGGCACCTTTTCACCTCAATGATAAATTAATTCATTTTAATTCAGTTATTAACTCCTGGACTTTAATAGACTAGCTCCGTTTTACATTTTTCATGTATTTAAACGGGATAACTGCAGTATAGAACGGTAAACGGTTGTGACCAGGCAAAGATCTCTCCACAAATCCACACGTTAACTTAAGCAGCTGGATAAAGTGTAGCTCACAGTTCAATTCAATTCAGTTTTATTTATATAGCGCCAAATCACAACAACAGTTATCTCACAGCGCTTTTCATAAAAGAGCACGTCTAGACCGTACTCTGTGATGTTATTTACAGAACTGCTGAATTAGAAGGGCAGAGAAGTGTGTTAGACTGTGACTCTGCCTCCTGGTCTCAACTCACATCAGATCTCTCTCT